GGTGCTACTGGTAGTCAGAACTGAACAGAGAAGCACCACCCTAGGAAAATTGTTTTCAGTTTTTAAAAAATTGTTTTTACTATTCTCCTTTAGTATTTAAGAATTTCTTTTTGAAGCGGTAGCTTATTTCAGGGTGTTTAAAAGAAACAAAAGTAAAAAACATTAGGCCATGCTTGGACCAAAATGTTAAGGCCAGAGTTTTCTAAAAAAACATTAAGGGCATAAACCACCCCAGGGTGAATCAAAAATTGTATGTTTCTCTTAAGAAAGCAATATAGTTCAAGACAGTAAACAGACATCTTACCTTACCCTGCATTTGCTATGAGCAATTACAATAACTAGGATAAAGTCAAAATACTGTCAGTACAGTGAAGTGGCTTCTTTAAATTATACCATCAATCACGTGGGGTACTGTATTTCACAATCCCCAAATAATGTATGCCACAACTCTGACAGTCACCATGTATACACTGAATCCTATAGAAAGAACATGTAAATGATTTTAAATATGTTTTGACTGAAAACAAACGAAACAAGCAGTGAATGCTAATGAGTTTCCTGTGAAATAAACTGAAGAAATGAGACCATATAGAAACACAGATTTAAAATAGCAGAATAACAAAAAATTAGTCACTGGAATATGTTTAATATCATTGGATGTGATTGCTAAGGACAATTCTGACTATAGGATTTTTACCTCACTGTTTCATGTAGCCCTGCAACTGCCTCCATAACAAAGCAAGAATTGTCCAACTAAGATTCTTAGCTATATTGAGCTCAAAATGATGCTTCAAAAAAGGTAGGTCCTAATCCTGTCCTCTTTTTCCAAACTTCCCAGGCAACACATGTGCAAGCCTAAATCAAGCAAAGGAAAGATGGTGGTACTTAAGCATACATTTTGATATCAATTTCCCTTAACTTTTATAAGTAATAGTACCTGTGAAAACTGGAGATGTTATGGTTTAGATTTAAAATGTTCCCAAGTGTCTTATGTGTTCATAAGCGTGGCTTTGGAAGGTTGTTCCATCATGGGGGGTTCTAGGCCACTGGATTAACCCATAAGAATTTATAGCTAAATGTGCTGTTAGCAGGGGAAGCCTGGCTGGAGTGACCAGCTGGGCATGACCTAGAAGTGCGTATCTCACTCCTCCCCAGGTTCTCCTATCATTCTTTGTGTCCTGGCTGCCATGGCTTGAGCAGCTGCCTCCCACCATGCCATGCCACCATGCAATTTCTGCCTTGAAGCCAACAGACCACAGGCTGGATCCCCTGAAATGTGAGCCTAATCTTCTCCAGTAAGTTGTGGGTGTCAAGTATTGTGTTCAGCACACAGAAAGCTAATACAGACACAACAGATAAAGTGTCAAAATATCAGTGTGTCTTCCATATTTGTCATAAATTTCCTTTCATCTAAGCCAGGCATTGTGAGACATGCCTGTAACCCCAGCTATTCAGGAGGCTGAGGCAGGAAGATAGTGTGTTGAAAGTCAGCCTGGAATATATAGAGACCCTGTCTCAAAAAGCAAACAAAATCACAGGCCGGTTTCCTTTCAACTGTCTATAGTGTTTTGTTGAAGTGTTTGAGTTTATCTCAAAACATAATGATCTTTAACCACAAAGAATTTTCAAATCTTAAAATCTACAGATTTACTTTGATCTATAATTTTGAGTTTTATAATAATCTTATAGGGCAGGAATGGTGGCACGTGCCCTAATCCCAGGACTTCAGAGGCTGAAGCAAGAGGATCGCAGTGAGTTCACAACAGCCTACGCTACATAGTGAATCCAAGGGCAGTCTGGACTACATGGCAAGACTCTGTCAAACACACACACACAAAATCTCATTCTCAGCATCACGTTAGCTTTTAGAAGACAAAAAGGTTCCCAAAATTATTACCATGTGAACCACTGATCTAGTAAAGTAAAATATTCAGACTAATGAAACAAAATCCAAGAATTAATTCTGTACACAGGAGATATGCAAACCTTTTTGCTAACAAGCTTTCTTATTTCTATTTATAGGGCTTTGTGTGTGTCAAGTAGATAACCAAGAAAATAGTTTTAAAAATTCAAACTATTTTAGCAAAACCAATTTATATCTTTATTGATTCTTTTCCTCCAACATGTCTGCAAATTTCAGAACTTATGTTCATAAATAGTTCAGCCTATGTCAACCGTATACTTTAGTCAAATTTTATTGTCTCCTGACTGTGACTAAAGAGCCAAAGAATGTTTATGAAGCAGCATAAATATGAAATTGACTACACTGGCAGTTTTATACCAGTTTCATACAAAACAAAATGAAAGATTGCAATTTTTCACTGAACTGAGATAAGTACAATGAATCAAGTTAAATTATTTAAACAATCTCACCAAAATATGTCCCTCCAGCCTCACAAAATACTCCCCTCTTCCAGGCTTTCAGACTTAATTATCCAGATAATCCTATCTGTGCTCATTTGACCTTAAAAATTCCTGTCTGTTGTATATGATATGAGGCCTTGCAATCTTCATTTAAGAAAGTATAATCACCCTCATTTTATAAGAGCAAATAAAAGCACTAAAAGGTTAAATAATTTACATGAGATTGCTAAAGCTTGAAAGAGGTGAGGGACCTAATCTAAATGTTTTTATTACCATCCTTCTCTGATATTTTGTGTATACATCTTATGAACATTAAGTAAAGGTACTTAACTAAGAAAACAAAATCTACAGATCTTTAGGAACAAAAGTTTGCCTCCTAGCTATGATACTTTACTTTTTTATTTATATATTAATTGGCACATTTTAAGTATACAATACATTTACATTTATCATTGGGTGCTTGTACCTGAACATGATGTATCTTAGTTCTTATTTTTTCCCCCATTACCTGTGCACCCTTCACCCCCTCCACCCTTCCCTATTTACATAGACTTTGTTTCCATTTTTTTTTCTTTCTCATAATTTTTCCTTTCCCTTCTTCACTTTCCCCTTCCCCTCCCACCAATCCTACACCTTTGGACCTTTTCCTATTTCAAATTATCAATTATTCGTTTTAATCATTTTCATCCTTATTTACACTTTCAGTTTCTCCTAGCTATGATACTTTTTTTAAAAAAAATATTCTATTAAACAGTCTTAATATCACAGACATCATATACCATCTCATTGGAACCAGCCAAAGAATCTGAATTTAGATTATTTTTTTCTTTCTTTTGAACCCTTGGAATCTAACTCTCCATACACACTGAAGAACATCGTCCCCATTCTCTAAAATAATGGAATTCAATAAAAAAATCTTAGTAGCTCTCAAAATCCTCTTCAAAACAGTAAATCCAAGCAATCTGCAATCTTGAAAACATAAGTCAGAGTTCAACAAACTATACAAAAAGTGGCTATAGATACCACTCTGTAAAGAGACTGGGGTTTCTACAAATTAACAAATCAAATGAAATGTCTTTGATCACTAAGTCACCACTATGGTTTTAATCAAATCAAAGCTTTAACTGCAAATTTAGGAAATCCCCTTAAGTAAAAATTAACAAATCTCAAGAGCCAGGAAATAAATTCTAAGAAACAGCTACAATGATATTTTTAATGAATATATTTCTACCATAGTCACAAACTACTTCCTTAAGTATACATTAAATGTTTCATGGATATGCAGAGGACATGATGCTAAGCACTACTGGTGATAACATCTATGCAGCACTATTGCATGCTATATCAGTGAGCGTGAAAGGAGCAGGGCATCCATCTAAGCGGGGCGGGGACTTGCTGGGGTGGAAGGGCAGAGAAAGCAGCAAAGACTCAAGAACACAAATTTCCCTGGATATGGACTTTGGAAGATGAGAAAGACACTCTTATAGAAGAAATAAAGTAAACACTTTACAAAGGGAACAATAGACTGAGAAATGAGAAAACTGACCATATTTGAAAAATTCCAGTCTTGCTAAAATTCGATCACAATCTAGCCTTCCCTGATCTTATCACCATACTCAACTGCAAGAGATTTTAATTCTCACCAAGCTTCTAACCTCTTCATAAGCCATCACTATCTACCATGCACAGAGATGGTTACCCATAGACCTATTGCTTTCAATGTCATTATGGACAAGGTCCCAGCTTTGTATATAAAACATACTCAATAAATTTTATCTCCATTCCATTTCTACCCCTCACAGATCTAACACATAGCCTTAAACTATAATAGTTTCAAACAGATGAACTGTTCAAAGTAGGCAACACAGACGTCTTAGACATACTTAGGCAAAGCAATATCTCTAAATGGACCTAACCAAAATTAACTTATTTCAGTAAATACTATCATACATTTTCCCCATTTTATTGCCCCAAAACCCTAACTCATTCACTGATAAACATTTCCACAATTTCTATAGATCCTGAACGATATAAACTAGAAAACTCCACATTAAAGAGTTTTCTGTTTACAGAAAGAAATTTCAAAAAGTCTTTGTTTATATTCTATCCTATGTGCCAATAATCTTTTAGGAGAGAGTTTAAAAATGTAATTTTAATAACAACAGAATGCCATACCACTCTGGGGAGGTGTCTACTGGCCTCTACTTATCCCAGAGATGAAAACAGATGTCTATATATAAATAAAAATGCTTCATAAAATTATTTTAACCAGCAGTTCACTCAGATTAAAAAACCTTGAAGGTTTGAGAAAATACATGATATCAGTAATGCAGACTATATGGTCCACTCAAAATAACTAAAAGGCCCGAGGATGGTGAATGAGATCTATGAATTCCAGATCACCTTTTAGCTCGCCTGAGATCACTATAGCAAGCTCCCATGTTTTAAGATAGGTAGTTTAATAAAATTAACAGTTACTTCAATATGAACATTTAATTCAAAGTCTGTCAGGAATTTCACCTAAAGAAACTATCACAATCTTCTGAATCAAGTGTCAGCAAACTGATTTTGTAAGGGGCATGTTTAGATCTAAAATGTCCCCCCAAAGCCTCATGTGTTCAGAGGCAGGCAAGTTCAGCAGGTGGAAGTGCTGCCAGGAGGGCCTGGCTGCAGGTGGGTCACTCCCAGTATGACCTTCCTCTCTAGCTCCTCCTTCACTTTCTGCTTCCTGGCTGCCATAGAATGAACAGCTGTACTTCACAGGCCCTTCCTGCCTTGGAGTTCGCTGACTATGGACTAAATCCTCTAAGAACCACAATCCAGGTAGGTGTGGTGACACAAGCCTATAAACCCAGGTCTCTGGAGGCTGAAAGGAGGAGGATCACCACAAGTTTAAGGCAAGCCTGAGCTACACAGTGGGTTCAAAGCCAGCCTGAACTGCAGAGGGAGACTATCTCAAAAAAAAAGAAAAATTCTGCAATCCAAAATAAGTGTCTCCCCCATTAAGTTCTGAGAGTCAGGTACTTTTTCCAAGAGATGTGAAAGTGACTAAGACAGGGCAGACAGAGAGCAAAAAGGTATTTTTGGCTTGGCTGGCTACAGTCTCTGTTGCAACTACTCACTCGGCCTTTGTAGTAGGAAATTAGTCAGAGGCAAAACTAGAGGAGTGAGTGTGGCTATATTCAACAAAGCTTCATTTACCAAAAGAAACAGAGGCCTAGGTTTAGCCCTGGGACCACAGTTTGTCAGCGTCTGTCCTCCTTTTTTCTCTTTTGATGACACAGATTTTTATTCCTAGATGGCTCATACTCTATTTCCTCACCCAAGTCTAGGAAGTGGTTGTTTCCTGCTGCTAAATACAGAACTAATGTGAAGTTCAGGTTACACTTTGACAACTCTATAGCCTAAAGAACTGACTTTAGGCTGCTGCTGTCCTTCTTGGTGGGCCAAAGGACTAAGAATCAGAGAGCAGAAGTATGTTAGGAGCGAAGTGGGGAAAATGACAGTGACTTCTATACGTAAGAAACTAAACTCTTTAACTGCACTTCCCATAATCAGCAAAATCAGACCTGGCTAAAGTCATTCCTGTCTTCAGGGGAGAAGATTATAAGATACAATTCCAACGTCCATGTCTTTGCTGTACCTTAGTGACAAACCTGCTACCTACGCATAGTCACTAAGCACCCCTTCATGGCAAAATGATCACTGGTTTGTCCCTTTGTCATCAACTCTAAACCTGTTCGTCCTACTTGATCTCAGCAACAGCTTCTAAATGGCACTGCTTTTTTAAACCTTTTCCTCTTTCTACTTCTACTTGTCTTGTGTGTTACTGTCCCGCTATTTCTCAATTTTTAAAACACATTGATTGGCTTTTCATAGACAAAATCAAATCAGGAACATAATTTTCTTTCTGGCACAATGAAGGAAGCACAGTGACATTGTGCCTAGCACAATCCTCACATTCTCAGCTCTTCTCTGGTTTTGTAAGGAAGTTTGGAAGAATCTGTTTCTTTATCATGAAAGACTTTTCAAGACTTACAGAAAGATGAGAGCTGGGCAAGGTATATTTTGGGAGCATTAACACTCTAAGACTTCCAGTTTCCTAACTTAAGTTTTCTAATGTATATAGGATTTTTCTTCATTACAAAAAATGAAATAAGCCAGGTGTGGTGGCAAATGCCTGTAATCCTAGCACTTGGGAGGCTGAGGCAGAAGGACTGCCACAAGTTAAAGGCCAATATGGGAGTAACCCAGGCTCAAAAGAAAAAAAAAATCTGAAAAATAAAATAAGGTTGTCTCTAGTTTGGAAATTCTGTGAATCTAACATCAATATCGTAGGTGATACTTTAGTTTATGATCTTACACTATGGTCTTTGAAAAGAAACAAGTTTAAAAGTAGCTAAAGAAAGAAGATGAAGACAGTTAAAGGAACTCTGAAGAAACATTATTTTTAAGGACTTTGAAGGTAACAGAACTGGTTCATTTTAATTCAAGGCTTAAAGATTTTTTTCTTCATATAAATATAACTAACACCAAATTCATGTTTATAAGCTATGACTAGGACCATCTCTGGCTCATAGATCAAGTAAAGAGAAGAGACTCTTCAGAGTACTTAGGAAAGAGTTAGAAGGGAAATAGTATCAAGGAGGATTTTGTATATCTGGATGAAATGAATGAAACTAGAATGAACTCAGCTGTACTGAAAGGAAATGAAAAACAAGCACCCACACAAGACTTGACTAGACCCACACTAGACTAGAACCAAGAAAAAAAGTGGGAGACAGTCACATGATATCAGGTAAAATATCTAACCTAAGACTCCAATTCTTCAAATGGAAAATATGAGGGATTCAGTCAGTTACTGCCTATAAGTTACTTAGCAAAGGACATAACACATTATAAGGGCTTAATATACCCATCATGATTGGTACACTGATTCTTGCAATAACAATACTAATAAATCATGACCTTCATCTTTTCATGATTCAACAAATACTAACTGATCAGCTAACGTGTCTGAGGTACCATATCAAGCATTGATAGTATGGGAGTAAACAGAAAAAAATTCTGCACATGTGCACCACCTTGCAATCAGTCATCAGGACTGGTCAAGGGAGGGGAAAATGAAAAGAGACAATGCATCTGGCTGTCTATGAGGCTGGGTAAACTACCCCTATAGTTCTCAAGTTGTGAACATACGGTACACATTCCCAGTGAATGTCAAGTAACTGGTTAAATGTGAAGGACGTAGTGTACGTCCAATAAATACTGTGATATCTAATCCTGGTTATTGAGTTGACAAGTTTCAGAGAAGCCTAATCAGGTGATTCCAGAGACTGGCATGTGGGTTAGCCACTGAGTGAGGAAGACCTTCCCTCAATGTGAAGGGTACCACCATCCAGTAGGCTGGGGACCCCAGTAGAATAAAAAGCAGAAGGGGGATCTCTCACACATGCACAAGCTAGGCTGTTCTTGAATAGGCGCATTTTTTGGCTGCTGCCATTGCCTGTGGACATCAGATTACAGACTCTTCAGCCTTTGAATGTAAACTTGTACCAGTGGCTCTCCAGGGAACTTCCCAGACCTTCAGCCTTGAGCTGGGGCTGCAACATTAGTCCTTTTTGTTCTGAAGCTTCCAGCTTCTTGGCCTGAGCAACTAGTTTCCCCAGCTCTCCAGCCTCTGGTTATGCAATCCAATCTAAAAGATCCTCTTGTAATTATATATACGATCTTTTGGTTTTCTTCTTCTGGAGAACACTAATACATTTATTATGTAAACTATTAAATAATATAAGTAATTTATATATACTGTTTTGTTTACTAAAGTGCTCTATCTTACTGTATTGTTGACTAAAGTGCTCTAAAGTCTACCAGAATACTGAGCAGTACATTATCATCAAAATCTTGCCTCTGCCAAAAATCTACACAATAGATTAATATTTTTTCATGACTTGAAACAAAAAGAAGGAAGAAATTAAAAAGGGGTAACCTGAATGTTTATGTTAAGAAGCCCATTTTTGTTTTGTTTTGTTTTTGAGACAGTCTTGCTATGCAATTTAGGCTTGAACTCACTACATAGCTCAGGCTGACCTCAAACTCGCAATGATCCTCCTGCTTCAGCCCCGAGTGTTGCAATTATAGGTATGAGTTATCAAACCTGGGCAAGAAGCAGATTTTTTTCAGTTTAATATTCCCCTTGTTCATTTATTCTGTATTTATTATACGCCCAATATCTACCAGCACTGCTCTAAGGACTACAGTACTACAACAATGTATCACCTATCTATCTGTGTGTGCAACATACATATATGTAGTTTATATATATTATATACATAGAGTTTAGTTATATATAATATATGCAGTATATACAGTATATACAGTGTATAAAGTGTACACACAGTTTTTAAACTTACAAGAATATGTTAATGCATCTTAGTTTGTGTTTCATCTGGATGATTTCCAATCTTCTCAGCACCATGGACGAAACCAGATTTTAGGCACCAACATAGGTTATATCTTTTGCTTTTGATGTTTTCATATTTTAAAGAAGCAGGTATGAGTTTGCAACAACAAATAGGCTACGGTCAGAGTATTTACAACAAATTATTAGGCAATCTTCCATCAATGTTTGCTTCCTTCTCTTAAAAAGAAGGCTAAAAATCATGGTAATCTTTCTTTTCTCCAAGACATTTAATGAATTATACATCTATAATTTGTATTTTGTTGGGGGAGGGGAGGAGGGTGGCTGAGCATTCTGCAGTCTCATCTAATCCAAAAGGATAGCTATAAGATGTAAATCTATACAGATATATTATACACACACACACAAGTACAGATGATGCTTTCAAATTTAGAAAGTGGCTTTATATATTCATTTAAGTCTCAAAGCAACACTGTGAAAAAGTAACATTATCCCTTTTCCTAGATGAAGCAATCAAGGCTGGGAAGAGATATATACAAAGTCACATAAGCAGTAAGCACTAGAGCTGAGTCCTAAGGTGCATCTTCTCACTCTACTGTGTTTTGTTGTTTTGTTTTGTCAGGTGGTGCTGGGGATCAAATCCATGGCCTCACACATGCTAGGTAAGCACTCTACCACTGAGGTACATCCCCAGCCCCAGAGCATCTTACTTTAAATCCATTATACTTTCAATTATATCTCAATGCTTCTACAGTGATTCATCCCCCTCACACATTAATGCATTCCTGTCCTAGCATCCCTGTACCAAAAAACAAATAATATATTTATTTATAAAAATTCATTACTTTTTTCCCACAGCTTAGAAGTAATACCATTTAATTATCCTTAAAAAACAGAAGTACATCCATGTCATGATACTTAAGATTTTAAGAAAATACTGTCAGGCTGGCTGTGGTGGAGCAGGCCTGTAATCCCAGTACTCAGAAGGCTGAGACAGGAGCACTCCAAGTTCAAGGCCAGCCTAGGCTACACAGTAAGGTAAAGGGCATACCAAACTACAAGATCCTGTCTTAAAAAAAATGCTAGATCTCTTCTAACACCCAGAGCTATATTCAATGTGGCACATTTCAGTTTTACACCCCAAAATGAAATATTACTGGGCTGGGGATTTAGCTCAATGGTTCCGCCACCTGCCTTGCAAGCGCAAGGTCCTGAGTTCAATCACCCATACCCAAAAAATAAATAAATAAAAATGAAATATTACTTAGAAGAAGACTCCGCTACTTAGACTTTATTTCTGCTAGTTTATACTCCCAAAAGTAGTTTTACTGCTTGTTCACATGGTCTGACAAAATTCAGAGTAGTTTGATCAAGAAAGATATTAACCAGGATCATTTTTTATTTTTGACCAGAATACTGTAACCTAACTCAAGTTGAAAGAGGAACAGCCAAGAAAATTTTTCAAGTAAACCACATTAAGGAAAATGACAGAGAAAAAAAGACAACATGAAAAAATGTAACAGCCATGAAAACATGAGCTTATTATTAACCATGATAAGTCAGCAACGCTTCTCTTCTAGTGTTGATGGCAGTGCCACAGCTAATACATCCTTTTAAAAAATGTTTTCTTGGAAGTACCAGATATCACACAGGAAATACTCCAAAGAATCAACAACTGGGATCACATCAAATTAAAAAGCCTTTGGACAGCAAAATAAACCACCAACAGAATGAAGAGAAATCAAAGAATGGGAAAAAATATTTACCAGCTACTCCTCTGACAAAGGACTAATATCTAGAATATATAAAGAACTCAAAAAAATCAGACCTCACCGAAATTTAAAGACCCAATCCAAAAATGGCCATCTGAAACGAGTTAGATATTTCTCAGATGAAGAAATACAAAGAGCAAATAAATATATGAAAAAATGCTCACAACATCACTGGTCATTTCAGAAATGCAAATTAAAACAACAATGAGATTTCATCTCACTCCAGAAAGAAATCAACCAATAACAAATGACAGTGAAGCTGTGGGGAAAAAGGAGTCCTTGTACATTGCTGGTAGGAGTGTAAACTGATATAACCACTATGGAAATTGTATGGAGATTCCTCAAAAAACCAAAACTAAAGGTTCCATTTGACCCAGCTATTCTCCTTCTAGGTATCTTCCCCAAAAGAGTAAAAAGCATCACACCACAGTGACATGTGCACACCCATGCTTATAGAGGCACAATTTATAACAGCTAAATCTTAGAAACAGCCCATATACCTATCAAAAGATGAATGGATAAAGAAAATGTGGTATATATATACAATGGAGTACTACTCTACCATAAAGGATAAACTTGAATCATCTGTAGGAAAACGGATGCACCTTGAGACCATAATGTTAGGTGAAATAAATTGAACACAGAAGTTTAAATATTCCACTGTTTCTCTTGTGTGAAAAACCCAAAGGGTAAGTGAGACGCATAATGGATGACAGATACTGGGAAGTAGGAAGAACATGTTCAAATGGGAAGGGGAACAAAGGAGGGGAAGGAAGGGAAAAGGAAAAAAAAGAAAGGGAAGAAAAAAGTGGTTACAAAGATTTTGTAAATGGGGAGGGAAAGAAAGGTTGAAAGGAAGGGAGGGGAATGGGGAAAAACAATTAAGATATGTTATGTACAGATACAAATTCCCTATGATGAATGTGATCAATTTGTATGACAAATATGTACTAATAAAAATAAAATTAAAAAAAGTACCAGATACATTTGAACAAGAAAAATTCTAAAATCTCTGAAATGCCTGTCAGCTATTACAATCATCTACCCAACTATAACATCCCAATAGAATACTTACAGCTCAGTGGTACAGAACTTGCCTAGCATGCACAAGTCCTACACTCAATCCTCAGCTCCAAAGCAGGAGGAGACAGAAGGGAGGGCACCAATGTAGTAGAGGTGTGATCAGCCCATTTCCCCTGAAGGCTGGGAAACTCTGAAAGTACCTGGGGAAGGGGACTAACACTTCCCAAGCACATCGCATGTACCAAGTCCCACATTAGGCATGTCCCATTCAAAACTTCCTTTAGCCCTTCCAACACCCTATCTTAATATATCTATCTTACAGATGAAAGAACTGAGTCTCCCAGCAATGAACAAATTTGCACTAAGTAAATGGCTATGGTATGCCACTGTGACAGCTGAGTTTAATTGTCAACTTGATTGGCTTGGGAGCCACCTAGGGCAGTGATGGCAAACCCTTTAATGATATAAACTGCCCACTGTGCCACCCATGCCATAGGTTCACCACCACTGACCCAGGGGGAACAGTAAAGTACATTTCTGGGTGTCCAGGTGGCCTACGCAGGCATAGCCCTGGGCCTATACCTAGTCCCCAGCCCCTTCCTCTCTGGTGCTGCTCCCCTGCTCTGCTTCCCAGCCACCATGAGATAAACAGCTCTGTTCCACAAAATTCCTCTGCCATGATGTCTTTGCCTTGGAGCTGGCTAACGACAGACAGAATATTGTGAAACCATGAGGAAAAATAAACCCTTCCTGCTTTGACTTGTATATGTCAGGTATTTGGTATCACTGACAAAAAACTGACCAATAAAGCCACAGACAAAATGCTTTCAAACAACTGATTTCAAAACCTGTATTCTTTTCACTCTACTACAATGCTAATTACATAAAAATTCCCATTGCTGATTTCTAATTAGAATTATCTCAAGAGACTTATAAAGCATTCATTCTGCAAGAAACTACATCTGTACAACTGGGTCACGACAAGCTTCTGAAAGTTAAATTTCATAAAACAGAGGAGCTATCCCACATATTGATGGCTCTAGACTTGAGGAGAACTATGTTAATCCAAATGCACTAGAAAACAAAATTACTTCAATGTTAAAGAAGTCTGTAAAAGACAGACCAAAACTTTGAAACGGAGATGACTATTGCTTTTCAAGTTGAGATCAAATTTACTTTTGAGTACCTTTGACTACGAGGCTCAATGCCAGGACACAAAGAATAAATGAGTAAATAAATACATAAATAAATCTGTGTCCCCATGAGCTTTCAGTGAAGGGTACAGAATACAGCCTAACACTTGCAACAAACTGACTCACCACATGCCAGGGAAATTAAGAGAGCTTTAGAGCTTAGGAGCAGTATACATACCCTATCTTGAAGGACAGGAAGGAATTCTGAGTAGCACCACTCCTAGAAATCTATGCCACAGCAATACTCAGAGTACACAGAATAGATCAGGATGCAGAAATAGCCAGGCATGGTGGTACATGCTCCTAATTCCAGCTACTTGGAAGGCTGAGGTAGGAGGACTGCAAGTTTGTGGTCACCATGGGCAATTCGGCAAGAACCTGTCAATCAATCAAGCAATCAATCAAGCAATCAATCAATCAATGGCTGGGGAATGCAGCTCAGAGGTAGAGCAACCCCTGCATTCCATTCCCCAGTACCAGGAAAAAGAAAAGACCCAGGCACAGAAGAAAAATCTTTTTGAGATAATCTAATATAGGGGAAAAATAAAAAATAAACTATGATATATTGATACTAAAGAGCTGTTAAAATGATGTTTCACGTGAATGGCTGTTAATTATCATAACATTCATTGAAAAAAGCAAGAAGCATGAAAACAGAAGAAAATGTGGTCCTATTTAATGTATAAATTTATTCCAGCTAGTTCTAAGTATACATAACAACTGAGGAATATAAGAACTGGAGAAATGAATTACCCAAAGTCAAGGAGGCAATGAATAACTATCGCTGGTTATTTATTAAACAGGATATTTTAAAGAATTAATGTTTCACTATTTGGTAACATTTCCCACCAGTATTTTTAGAATTTATAATTATTTGAGCTGTTAAATGTTTTGAAAAAAATACGTACATACATGCAAACATATACAAACATTCTCCCTGTACTTAGTAGAAGATATTATTTGTATATAATACATACACATGTATACTTTGGGGCCTGCTAGGGATTGAACTCATGGTCTTGTGCACAGGCTAGACAAGCATTCTATCATTGAGTTACAGCCTATTCCTTCTTTTAATCTGAGACAAGATCTTGCTAAGTTGCCCAGCTTGGCCTCAAGCTTGCAGTCCTCCTACTTCAGCCTCCTGAGTAGCTGTGATCTTAGGCATTCACCACTGCATCCAGTCTTTCTATTAATATATTGATCTAAACAACTTTAACATCATTTCAGGGCAAAGTACTTTAAAACATTCATGCAATCTTTGCTCAAGTCTCTCTGTTTCTAACTGTACACAGTAAAATAATTCTATTCAAATCCATTTAGAAATAACATAAGGACAGATATGGACACAAGTACATGAAATAAGACAGAAAATAGTAGGATGAAAACAGAGAAGCATTTTTCCCTGATCTCCAGTATTACAAAATAGCAAAGAATGTTTCCAACCTAAACCTGATTTGATGTTAAAAGCTTTTCCAGGAAAAATAGGACTGAGAACTAGAATTAGTGTTTTGTTTTGGGGTTTTTTCGCTTGTTTTTGGTTTGGGGTTTTTGGGGGTTTTTTTGTTTTGTTTTTTTTGGTACCAGGGATCAAACTCAGGCCCTTGCATTTTCAAGGCAGGCGGTGGAGCCACTGAGCTAAATCCCTATCCCTAGAATTATTATTTACATGTAGAACTAAAGAAAACTGACTTTAGGACCTAAAAGAGATCTTTAAAACATCATCTAATCAAACTTTTCATTTTATATAAGAGAAACTGGGCCTTTAAGAAGATCATTCGTAGTTAATGATTATAAAGAGAACACAGCTAGAAAATTCTAAAAGTATTCTCATTCCAAGTCCATTGTCTTCTCTGGTATCCACACTACAACACTTAAGCCTAGTTACTGAGGAAAATTACTTTAATTTAGGCTTAATTATCCAAATTGGCTATCTCTAGGGGGTAAAATTACTGTTCAAATCTTCTTTTCCAAATGAAAGCACAGCCTAAAATATTTACTTCACTCATCAATATTTAAACAAAACAGAATATTTTGGCACTATGATTATCATGAGATAAAAAAATATAGCATGTTATAAATCCAGGCTGATTTAGGAGATTAAAAGAAAATTTTAAATCCAAATCTCTGGTTTCTGGAATGAAATGGCAAAAACTGTCTACTTACTATAATCAACAAGCTCAAAGTTAAAATTATTTTATCATAGCAGTGCTTTTGTTAATCAAAATCATCATAACCCAATATTCCTTATTATAAATTTTCAGAGTTCAAGCATAACTACTGAGGAAGAAAAACAGCAGTAAGAACCTCTGAACTACTAAGATGTGATTCTATCATAAAAACTATATGACTTTCTCCCAAAGTGTGTTCCATAACTCATGGGATACTAAACAATATCAAATGTATAAAGAACAAGGCAACAAGAGAATTTTTGCAGTTTTTTTTAAAAAAAAAAAAAACTAGTATGGTCTCTATGGAGCCTTGAATAGGTTAACAGTTTTATGAGTCTCAAGGAAGAGGTATAGTATATTAAATGCAAATTATAGGAGGACACTGTTTTGGTCTAAGGTCCTGCACTGGGTCCCAAAAGCCCAGACTAAAATCAAAATGGAGTCACCCATGCTACTGTTTAAAGTCACCAAATCAAAACTTAAGTTAC